TTGATCTTAAAAGCTAGTGCCCAGTCCTTTCAAGATGAAGACACCATGGCCTGGGAGAATTTAAAAAGGATGTAAAAACGTAATATCTAGATACTAAGGTTTGGAACTATTAAAGATGAATCACTCATTGTGGAGAAAAATGATACATACAGCAGTAATACCCTGGTGATTAATGAAAGGCTTTATGCTTTTCTGAAAGGCAAGTTATTTTGATTCTTCAAAATGTGCCAAATATTTATTCAAGTGAAATAATTAAAGTAATCTTCCTTCAGTACACACAGCTTAATATTTAAAAAGTATGTATGCTAAAAAATGTTTTTAGTTTTGGTTTCACAAAATTTTGCAGATGATTTCAAAATATTTAAATATCTAGAATTGAAAGAGTTGTTGTCAAATGTTACCAGTAAGGTTGAACCTGTAGATCCCGTCTTCACCAATTAAATTTATAACTTGGAAACTAAAAGACACATCAGGCAAGCATCATCATAAACTTTGATGGAAAATTATTATTCTGTTAAGAGCAGGTGGACTCAGAACAATACACGTTAGACTCAACAAGGCTTTGAAACATCTGTCACCTCAAACCCACAAAAGGTAAGTTGATTTCTATTTGCAAAATGTGCTTTAAATAATAATTGTTGATAGCCCATATACCCAGAATAGGTGCCACATTTCTAATGTATACATTAAAAAAAAATACACCTTGACTCCAATTTGATTGTGAGTAATTTTTTTATTTTTTTGGGATCATGGTCCTATCTTCTATTCCATTCTGAAAATTGTCAAAATGCTAAGAGAGACATTGCAATAAGTGACACTGTGAAGGTAGATCAATGAAGTTTAATGGAAAATCAATAAAGCATAATATTCAGTGGGGTCGTACAAGGCTGTCAACAAGTTTAACTGTAGAAGAAAAATAAGTAATAGTAAACTTTCAAGTTATCAAGGACCTGCATGTTGTTTTGTCAGATTACACACAAGAATGGAAACTATTTTAATAGTTAAAAGTTCTAATGTGCCTGATGTTACCAAAGTTAACATCAACCTTTAAGTCTATTCTGAATAAATTCAAATATTGTACAATTTTGCATCAGAACTTATGGTAAAATGAGGTGCAAGTGGGTGGCTTCAGATGGCAGACTGTTGGATGGTTTTTGGCAGCTATCAGCTCTTATTGACGGGGTTGATAACAGAAATTGGCCACCATAACGAGTTCAAAAGCTGACGTTTTGAGCATTAGCCCTTTGTCAGAGCGAAAGTTCAACAGCTTAGATTTCTTCTTTCAGGAACAAAAGTGTTTCATGTGACAAATAAAGGGGTAAATGAAATTCTCATTTGATTCAACACCAAATTCTTAGAACTAAAATTACATGAAATATATGGTAAATAGTAAGGAGAATTACTATTCAGGTCTTAGGAGTGATAGGGTCATGTAACTTTTAATGCAACATAATAAAAATGTACGTAAGAATATTTAAGGTGTGTTATGGAATAATTTTAAATTATTCTTCTGCACCAATCATAACAACTAAGCCTTTTGATAGACATTTATAAGTTCCTGTCCCTAAATATTTAATTCTTGACTACTCTTACATATTCAGCCCTAACAATTTGCTTGTAAATGCTAACAGTGTTCCTAACCTCTTCCATGAAATGAATGTTGCAATTCTTTAAGATCCACATAATCCAGAATTCATGACAGATCTTTTCACTCTTCAGTTGGTCCTATTAGTAATAATCTTAGACTTTACTGAGAAGCTGTCAAGGAAATTTTACCCCACAGCTTTACCAAAAATTAAAATTGAAGCATCATTTACTTCCAGGAACCTTCAGCCTACTCATTTTGGCCACAATGAAAATCTTTCATCATCATTCGTGCCACAAGAATTTTTCATGTAAAAATTTAGTTTTCTGTAATGCCTAATTGGGTTTTCACCCCCTAAGGCTTCATTAATACAAAAAAAAACTTGAGAGTTGTTGTCGTCAGCATGACAAGAACAATTCACTGTTCGTGACCAACTCCATGATAACCTTCCACAATACCTCCAGGGGTAACACATTTGCACCGAAAAATACACTAAAACACAATTTGCCCCAAGAACTTCTCTTGAGAATTCTAGACAGTTCATCATATTTTTAAGTACTAAATGGGTTTGTTTATAGCAAGTGCTGAGTTGTTCAATCACAACATCAGCTTAAAGAGCACAGTTAAAATTACTCAGCGTTTTAAGAGAGGGAGCATTTCCATATTTGAAGGAGAAACAAGTAACTTTCGAAAATTAACAAATTCAGTGGACACATGTCTAATTCCATTTGCAAACAAAGGAAAAACACTACAGTTCCTCAAATATGATTTTAAAATTTTGGAAATCTATTATTTTCCTTCACAATAAAAGATAATACAATGACAAAGGTCTGGAAAATTATCAATTTTTGAGAATTTCTTAATTCTGTGTAACTGATGAAAGACCACATTGCAGTGAGTCAAATTGAGATTTTCACAGATTGCTAAGACTAATGTACTTTGAAATTGGTTCTAAAACTTGGTTTCAGTCAGTCTGCTAGTCGATTTTGATATCATCTTCTCAGCAGTCAACCTGGTAGTAGCTAGGGACAGGTTGGCACCATAATCAATAACTACTTTTTACGGCAAAATCATTCTAAACAAAAAGTTTTCAACTTGAAGACTGGTCTTGTAAATAAGGCAAACTGGCTTATCGAGATCACAAAAAGTTAAGTTAACGTAAAGACTGCATTTCAAGAGTGACCCTTGAAGTCTTCTGCTTTGGAAAATTTCATTTTCGACAAGTGCCCTTTCTAGGGTGTCTTAAAGCAAGGCACTAAAAATAACAACAACTTCTTAAAATATCTCAAAATTCCAAACAGAAAGTAATGCATAAAAGACATCGGTAACTAGCTATCGAAAAAGTCTGTTTTCGTGTAGGTATTTATGACTTCTCGCAGCTTCATAAATAAATTACGATCACGAAACAACAGGACCATAACTTGCTTGAAAGCGTGATTCGCTTTCAATTAACAGTCACTTGTCATTCTTGAACTTCCGTTTCGATGCCAGAGTTATGGTGTTACCACGAAAAAATTGCCCTTAATGATGTCTACATCAAATACACACAAAGAACATATACGTATTATAAATATTGCCCATAGCTTGCTCTTCTAATATCCTATTTTTGCACGTAGCTCGCTCGACATGGCAACATTGATACGCGACGAGGCACGCCAAATTAGAGCGGTTGGAAAATTTCTTAAGGGCATACGCAAAATCGCATAGTCAAGACTGACTGTCTCTAGATCTTAGACAGGAAGGCTGTTTCGTGATAGCTTAAATCTACAAACTCTCTAGTAATCCATCAACCAATATTTCAACTGTTACAAATTGTCACGTAGATTATTGACGCTTAAGATCGTCTGCATGTGAACAATTCTGGCCGCAAAAAAGAGCTTAGAAAAACCACAGTACCAACACGAAATAGCTAACGGGGTCAAGTACAGATCTCGAGAAGTAAATTAAACTCGCAAATTGCCCAGTGGCGACTTTTTCACTCGAGTTATCTCGTCAAATCGTCTGTGCGGAATTAGTGGCGATTTCGTCGGATTTTCCATTTACATGACAATTTTACTCAATTTTCGTACACTTAGACGCAAAATTCTGTGTAAATAAAATTTGTAACTCATTAGCGGTGAATCGCTAAAACAACTACAGATCGAGGTTCAAAGTGTTTATGCATCATTTCACGGCAAAACATTGAACCAATTAAACGCGTCCACTGTTCGTGTGATTTTTCTCATTCAACGAACGATAAATCACAAACAATCAATATTTAGCGCATCGCTTCGCCGTCGCTTTGACGGCACGGAGGTATTTTAAAGCACCAACTTTTTCTCACAATCGAAGAAGACATCTTTCTTCTTCCCTCAAGGTATGCGACAGTAAAGAGGAACTGGCTGCACTGACAATTACGAAGTAATTTCCTCCGCACGTGTGCCGCCATGGTCGGTGGAAAATATGGGCGAGTAAATTTTATGCACAGTATACCTGGCGCCTTCCGAAGAATGGGTAATTGACCTCAGGGCACAACGCACGGCCTTGAAAGAGAAGCCGAAAGCACAAATACTACAGCTTTGTCTACTACTGATCTAATATTTATGCGCAGAACACATTTGCGTTCCTCGCTGAAGTGCTTGAAACTTAGAAACTTCAATATCCGCGCCACACGGTGGAAAGAGAAGTCCAGGCGCGCACCCCTAGGAAAAGTACACAGTTTTTACCTCCAATTAGCAGTCTTTATGCTTGTGTGCTCTGACACTTTCGATCCAGCTTATCACGAGAAGCATCTTTCATTTTCGTCATACTTTAGGTAGACCTGTGAGTCAACAAGAATAAGATAAATCCTGTTTCGCTTTTGTTTGCACTGCTATCGAATGACCTCGGGGCGCCATTTTGGCAAAACACGGTGAATGGCCTATCACGAGACCGCAGTCGGAGCCACAAAGAAGTTCCAAAAACACAGGGGTGGAGCTACCGCACGCGATATACACTCGCAAAAACTCAAATTTTTATACCCTTCTGATAAAAATTCAACTTTTTTGTGGTGCTAGATAGTTTATTTTATCTTTTTAAAGTCTTCCACGGCGAAAAGTGTCAATGGCACACGCCTAAGTAGGTCGAAAATATTTGACCCTTGTATTACAATCCTACCCTCCCCGTCCATAGCAAAAACATGTCTGTTGGTGAACAAAAGCAGAGAACAGAAAGAAAAAAATGTTTTATTCTCTAAATGAAGAAATTTAGTCTACTTCTGAATAAATATGGACGAAAATAAATGTGTCGAAAACAGCTGATGTCAAATATTGGTCAACCTCTTACGCAGAATAAATAGATACATTTTTATATATCTACCAGGTCGTCACCCGTCCCCTCCCCGATAAGGTTCAGACTGTCGTGCCTCTAGGTACTCCCATAAAAAAATGAACCTCAACAAACGTAGTAATCGCCTCTTATGAGATGGCTAGACATTATGTCGCTAGCATAGAGCAGAGTCTTTCTTCTCCATCACGTATGTGAAAGGGAGCGATGGGGAACTCGCCTTGCTCGAGGAGGGAACAGCTTGAAGTCAGCCCAGAAGTTTTGGTTTGTCGATTGAAACGGGCTGCTTACAAAGGCTCTAATAAGCATCTTCGGGAGCTTTTGAAAGCTGGTGCACCTATCGACGGTTGTCACAAATACGGGAAGACTGCGCTTCACGAAGCCGTGAGGCACGGTCAAATTAGATGTGTTGAAATACTTCTGAACTATCGGGCCAACGTAAATATATCAACGTATGATGGACTTACACCGCTACATGAGGCTGCCGAACAAGGCTTTGTAGATTGTTTGGCAGCACTTATAAATCATGGAGCTGAGATAAACGCCGCGACTAGAAGTCAGTGGACGGCACTGCATTATGCTGCAAGGAACGGACATAGGGACTGTTTAGAAGTCCTTTTACAACATGGGGCTAATGTAAATGCAACCGCAAACGGAGGCTGGAGACCTTTGCATACGGCTGTTCGTCATGGGCACACAACGTGCGTTGAACTCTTACTCCGCTATAACGCCGAAGTAGACCCTCCTTTGGTGCCTTCGTATCGGGTAAGAAAAACGTGCGATTCACGCTCTGCACTTCTAGAGCGTAGTGCTGTTTCATTGAATTGTCGTGATTTTATCGAAGTTGAACGTTCTTGCACAGTATCAAATCTGCATTCTGCCCCGTGTTTATTAGCTGGGCGATATTTTTTTTGTGTTCGGGCAGCGCAGTTGGGGGGAGCTGTGAAAGCTCTAAATTTCAAAAGGAGGACATGTTTTTTGCCGATCCGAACCAGCTTAAAAGAATCGTAGCATCGCATTAACAAGGGCGATTGTGAACTCAAGCGTTGATCTTGAACCGAGAATCAAGGATTTTTTCTTTCGAGAAGTGTCAATCGGACAAGCATATGTAAAGCTTCGAATAACCGTGATTGAACAGTTCAGAGATGCCCGTAATCGAGTAACCCTATAATTTTAATTGCAGTTACAGAAGTTCTGTTTATATTTTAAAAAGGTCGTATTCTCCCCAGGAGACGGAAAATTCTCGTGTAGTCGTACTCCTCAGCGGGCGAATAACATGGCAAGAGCGATTTTTCTTTTTTAAATCGCTCCACTCGCCCCACAGGCTCAAATCGCTTTATTCAAAACAAAAATTGACGTGTTGTAATTAATTTTTTGACCGACTAGGTATTACGTTTCTTTTGGGCTTCGTGTCGAAATCTTTTATTCTATTTCTAAATAGAAGACACTCTGTTATTTTGAAGAGCTGTTGGATTTTCATTTATCCGTATTTCGAGTCTGGAAGTCTTAAAGACAAAAATCTGTCTCCATCAAGTCTGTCCATATTGGAAGTTCATTGTATTCTGTGACAGGCTGCGCTAAATATAATCCCTCATATCTTCATACCGCGAAAAACTTATAATAGGCTTTGGATTATTTTCTCTCGAGTCATTTACGGCGGAGAATTTAACGGCGATGTGTTCATATACCCTCAGGAGTGCGTCGCCGAGGCTAGGGTATATTTTGATAGAATTCAATTTGTCTGGATAAAATCCGCACTGGAGTCTTAGGGCCTCGACAGCGATTGTTTTTTATACGCACAATTCATAGTTTCTCCCTTAGTATTCACAAAATATGTCATATTTTTGATTAATGGCCAAGGGCCAATTGTATTCTGGTGAATCTCAAACTTCTCGCTAAGCATCTGGTTTTAATTTACCCGGCGAAAGAAAATTTGAAATGTACATGTATTTCGTTGTTGTTTTTCAATGATTGAGACGTAACTTTTACGCTGATCTTTTGAAACATTTAACCATTTTTTTCAAGTGGTCCGAAGCTAAAGAATGTTACGAGGTGGGGTAACAGCTATATTACTTTCAGTTATTCACGTTTCTAGAGCCTGTGATGGCCATCCCAAGAGTGTTCAAGGACTCAAAAATTGTCTTTTTTTCTTCCGACTTTTGTATTGCCTAATTCGGCGGTCGTGGCGTAAATTACAGATACTTCTCTTGCTTTTCGGCTCATAGTGAGCCAGGATACAATCGAGGTAGTGAACAAGAAAGGCAGTTTTGCCCTGCATCACAAAAGGATGGTTAGATTGTTATCTTATAGCAGATAATAAATTGTGCTGCCATGGTATATGAGTTCCTTATCAGGACGAATGTGTAAGTTATGCCAAAAATTTAGCCCCCCAGATTGCTTGACCCAGCTTCAAAACCCTTACTACTTTACTTACACCGTCTTCTGAAGACTCAAATTTAGTAACAAGGTGTTATGTTATCCCAATATTGAAAGGTAATCAAGATGTCGCAGAGACCATTCAGTGTACAATTTCAGCCCCTGAGGACACACAATTCACATATGCTTGATCATGTTCACCAGAACCATTCATCACAAGGGTTTTAATATTTTAGAGTGCTTAGCAGTTTTTAACAAGGTCTTATCTTTGACTGGGCAATATTGCTTCTTGGATATACCTAACTAACACAAGATTGGCTCGTTTTCCATTAAAAATCTTGACTTTTTCTCCTCCAATAATAATTTTTCGTCATGTTAAATTCTGAACATGTGCCAGAGAGAGATAAATTTGCATTTTTTGGAGATAGTTTAGGGTGGCCTTAAGTTAGAACCATCTGCCAGCCTGACAGGTGAAATATTATACAAATTAGCTCCTTATTGTGTAAAAGACTTCCCTTGTTTTATCATCTTTAAAACTTTGAAAGTTGTGTTCATGGCTTCTGCTAGTTGAACAAACTGCTCTGGTCTTTACTCTTGATTAACCTTTGCCGAAACCTCCCTGGGGTGAAATTAATTCCCTCACTCGCTTTACACAATGAGTTAATTGCTGCAAACACCTTCTCATGCAAAGAAATTAATTTTGTTTAACAGTTGACACTGCAGCAGTTGATCGGTTTGGATGTGTTGTACTTATTTTTGCTCTCTTTGTGTTCTTCATGGTTTTTTTACTCATTTCCATGATTTTAATAACACCACTGTGGAAAATTTACATCACATGTAAATTCTTTGAAAGACAATTGAAAGAAAATTGAGAAGGAAAATTATTTTAGAATTTATTATGAAAATTTCACCTGGAGATGGGAGAAATCTTTTTAAAAAAATTGTAAGTTATAGAATCAAGTTTTTGACTTCTTGATGTTTTCACAAATTAAGTTTTGTTGATTCTTTAATTTCAGTTGGATCTTTACTGATTTCTTGGTAAAATTTTTAAGGGTGATTGTAAACCAGGCAATGTTTATTATGCAAAATATTGATAGTGAGTAGAATCCAGTTGGCTATGTTTTGTCTAGCCTTGTCACAACACTTGAGTACAGGAAAAAAATATTATCAAGTGCATGTCTGCTGCTAGCCAACTTCAGACTGTTTTGTCGTAACACAAACCAGCAGCTACCCTTTAATAGAAACTAAATATTCTCAAATTGTAATGTCCCAGGTGTAAAAGTGCTCATCCAATTTGACTAGCTGAATAAGTTGAAACTTTGCAGAGGCATACAGGCTTTGTGCTGAAATCATGTTGATTGGTTTAATAAATTCCTGAGGTTAGAGTTCTTAATAATCTTAAGAATTCAGATGGTTATCCCAGCAAACATCACGTCATTGTGGCAGTATATTTCTCTCTTTTTTTATTGTTCTGTAGTCCCTAATTTCAACAGAAAGATTATTGAGTCTTTGTTAATGCTACTGAAACTGTTAAGTGAATTATATTTTTAATTTTCTCATCTCTTAAAGTGCTACTGACCATATGTTGAATTTACGGCTGTTAAGCTATTTTTAGGAAAAACATATTCAAGGTCATTTGTTTCTTCAAGGGTCAGAATTAAAACACTCTATACCTTTTCTGTGGTTTTGTCGCAGAGGACAAATTTATCCAGTTGAAGTGTTCCCTGTGCACTCATAAGGCTAAGGCTATTGTCTGGAAGTTGTAAAGTAACTTTTAACAACTTGAGGAGGAACCATTCTGTTATCAAGCTTCCTGTCAGCTGGTTGTTAAATTTGTATATCCAATTGATTTCGTGTGCAGCTGGTAAACGCTTAAGGAAAATTTTGAACAGTAATCTTTTGATCCTCAAAAACTGTCAAAAATTCTACCTTGGATTACATTGTAGTCTTGTAATCACATAATTCTGTCTGTGGATTTTCATTTCATTTAGTGACTTAGCACTAAAGTGAAGTTGTGATGCTTTTTCCATATTATTCAATATTCAAAGCTCTAGGGAGCCTTTTTTTATATATCAGAAATCATTTTAGCATGTTTTTTTTTCCCTCCATATTACTATTGATTTTGTCAAGTAGGAGGTTATGACTGGTGAACCGCAGAGTTTTTTGTTTTCATTTTGTTATTGTTTTGTTTTGGTTTTTTTTTTTTTAGGTCTGGGTTTTGTTCATCATGATAGTTATCAGTGCTTCTAGTATTAAACTTCAACCTTTTAACTCCCCAGATGCAGATACATAATAACCTTACATATTATGACCTTATATGCCCTAAAATCAGTCTGCAAATTTGTAATACTCTTCTCTACATTTCTATTTTGGTATCAACAGGAAGAATTTTGTTCAAGGACTTAAACCAAGAGGTTCTTTAGTTTGCGATCATGTTCTTTATTCTCATGACTTTGATTAGGGTTTTGATCCAAACCATGACAGTGTGAGGATGCTAGGATGCTAGGCACCTTTGGGGTTAAGGGAAAATTCTCTGCTCTGTCTGCTGTATGTTTCTTGTAATTTGAGCTCTGAAAAGTTTTTTTTTTTATAAGTCAACCAACATCCTTTTTTGATATGTTTCTTTCTTTTCTTCAACCTTCTTCTTGAAGATACATTGATAAGTTAGGGAGAAATTCCATTTTGGTCTCTCTTGGCAGTGAAAGGGTTAAGTAACATCTCTGGTTGAAAAATGCAGATAATGAAAGAGAAAAAAGGAAAGTTACGAGAAATGATATTCAACTGAATTGAAAGCTTTGTATTAAAAATTGTTTAAAAACATTCTTTTGGGGGGCAAATTTAGAAAATGGGGCACATATGTTTTAGTTTGAAGGTGTTGAAACCTTCAACCAGATCCATCTATTCTTGATGAAGGAAGTAGGTTTCTAAAGAAACTGTGGTGCCACATTAGTGGGAGAGTAAAATAAGATAATTTAGTAATATCAACTGAGTTGATAAGGTAAATTGGCCTATGTTAAGAGTTTCAATGATGTTTCGAGGATTAGCCCCTTGTCAGAGCAAAGGATACTTAGGTTATTAAAATATTGTGAATGGAATGGGCAACTGAATCAGTAAATAGGATCACTAAAACTGTTCTACTTATTTCAGATTCTTCAAGTCCCTCTCCACCATGCAGCAGAATATGGGCATCTAGCTTGCTTAGAGGCTCTTCTAAGGCAAGGCGCAGATGTTAATTCTAAGACCGCGGAAGGCTGGACAGCAATGCATTCAGCAGCGCTCTACGGCCGCACATCATGTGTGGAAGCACTGATCAGGTACTTATTTGCTAGGCCATTAACGGGAGTATTAACTTTTGTAATAGTTACTATTTCCCCAATTGTGAATTGTAGATGACATGTTCCGAAAGCTGTTTCTAGAGCTTTTCATTTTGCTTTTGTCAAAGATTCTAATGGTTCAGGGTTTAAAGATTGGAATTACAAGCCCTTCCTTTAATGCATACATTAGATTTTCTTGGAATTTGTAATGGTTACATGTAGGAGTAATTGGTAATGGGACTTAATGTCATCAGATTTGGTCAGAAATCATACTTGTGATAAAAAAATCATTAATCGACCTGCTTGGAGGCAATCTTATCATTTATTCAATACATTTAGAGACTGAATTTTGCTCCATTTGAATGTATGACCATTGGTGATTAGTGAAACTGTCAGTCAAGTCAGTTGTTCAAAGAAATTTTGCATATGTCAGGGAATTTAAAAAATACTTGGCTGTGGCAGCCTTTTATTCTCTGTGAAAATTTATTGTTACAATTGATAGAAAGTTATTGTACACATTCCCACTTTCATTCGTACACAGAGCTACAATTTCTGTTTACAGCTTCAATTTTTACAGAATCAAATTTGAAATGTTATGCAGCTTTTCCAGTGTTCTTAAGAAAATTTATCATTATTGTAAGTGTATTTGGTCACCATTGGGGTCAGGCTTGTCTTGAAAATGACTTTCTTAGTGAGAGTTACTGAATTTGAGGCAACGTTATTGATTTGGTAGCTCTCAAAGCTTGAGTTATTTTTGATGCATAGTGTTCAATGACAGTCATGGATTATTGTGTGGAGACTGAAGCAGTGCCCTTCAGTGATTTGAGAGGAGATTTCCACCATTACAAGATCTATTCTTGAAACTCATTTTCTACCAAGCTGTGAATGTGCCAATTGAAAAATGCGAATGTTGAATCAATCTCATTTTTTATGAAATATGTGTGCAAAGAAGTATGACTCTAGACTGGGTGACAGAATTTTAGGCTGTGAATGTTGCACATTCTTATTTCTTCCTGAATTTAGGATGAAAATTGTGTACAGATAACCATTATTTAATTGCTAACAACAGTATTTCTGGAGTTGAATTAGTAATTGAATTAAAAACACTGTGCTGCTAAGAGAATTGTCAAGGAATCTATTGAATAAGATTGATGGCTTCTTGTTCAGAAGTGTTACCTACAATAATATCTCTATATTAGGTATGGAAAGAATGCAATCCTCTTACAAATTCATATTGTTCAAGTATTTCTAAGTTGTTTTCTTTTTTACTAAGTTATGAAAAGTGTTAGTTTTAGAAATTTAAGCGTCAAGCTGAAATTCAGTGATTTAAAACTGTGCACAATGAAAGTTCCACATCAAACGCCTTTCATTAAATGGTTAAAAGTTTTGTATTTTTCAAAGACTTGCTTTGGTAAGCTTTTTCAGTGGAAAATTTATAGTTGTTGGGCCAGTTTCTATGTAAATGTTCACACTAAAACCTGTTCTATTTGCTTTTAAACCAAATAGCATTCATTTTGATCAGCAATGGAAACTTCTTCTTCTATAATACAATTTATGAGTGTTGACTTTGATCAGTTACTTGTCATGCAAATTTGTATGCATCAAGTGGGTTTCTTTCAAAATAAGATTGTTTTTTACAAAGTATAAAGTGGTCAAATTACATATCAAATGGACTATTAGTACTCTCTTTGTAAACACTTTTACTGATGCGGAGGCACTATTTAAGGTTAAGAGAAGTTTTTTTCCCACCAGGCTTAAGTTTGATAGCCATTTTTAGAGTAGATGGTGGGCTATATTTTCACGAAAGAAGGAAATTGCTTTAGATTCGCATTAATCCGTTTGTCATTATAACCGAAACACTCTTAAGGTTGTCTGCAGGTAATGAATTATCCTTACTGTTGAGAATTGGTTTATTTCAGTCTCTTGACAAAGCGTGGTAGGTCGATTTGAGAAAATAAAAAAAACTTACATGGCTTCAAGATTTCCTTTTATGTTTGCAAGAGAAAAACATACCATGTTAGTCATTGGAAGAAGGCATTCATTTGTGCAGACAGGGATTTAGCAAGACGTCTGCTTTGTCATGCAATGGTAGAAAGTTAAATATGTCAAAGGACAAACAGTTCTACTTTAACATGTATCACAAAGTTTTTATCAAACAGTCATTGCTGATCAATTGGTTCTTTTTATTCTTGTAACAAAAATTAGAAAGAATTGAATTGTGAAATGAAAAAAATTAAGGCCATGATGTATTGATAGGAACAAGTCTGGCAGAGAATGAAGAAGATTAATACAGATTTTAAAACTAGAGACTATAAATGGTCACATTCACAGACTTTGACCTGCAGCATAAACAGAAATTTTTGTCTTTCTTCCACAGCAAATTTATCAGTTGCTCTTTGGTTTTTTTTAGTTCTGTCTGCTATATTATAGTGAGACAAAATATATTTTTTTAGATCCTAACTGAAAGGGCTGTGATTGAAAAACCTCAGGGAAAAAGCTTGTTTTGTATAATACCAGAAATATGTCAACTAATCTTGTCTCTAAGGTAATATTGCCTCCTTGCAAAACATTTTCTAAATTAACTTCTCAGTGTTTACTTTCATCTCATCAGGGGGCAGCAAGCTAAGTGAAATGTTTGATTAAAATGGTGTTTTATTAATTAGATGTTTTTCAATGCATTTGTGTTGCTAGAGTAAAAATTAATTTGGAAAAGACGATGTTATTTTACTTGACACTGAGCTCTGCCTGAATTATTCTGAAATGTGGAGAAAGAACTTCAAGCTCTAACTCTTCCTTGTAGTTTCTGAAGTCTGTGATATGTATTTCTTAACCAAAGAGATAAAGCTTGAATTTAAATAATTTGTTTTCACTGTTCAAGTCCTTTTTCTTTTTCTTCTTGGTTTGTTTGTTTGTTGCAAGAGGCAGTTGTTATCAAGGTTGAATTTCAAACTTTGAAAGCGACTTTGAAGCAGTAAATAAAATTAATGTTATTGCTGAGTATTCAACAAAAATTTAGTAGATTTGATATTAAGGTTTGTTGTGTCATATCCATTAATTAATCTTGAAACAAGTTTGGTTGCAAATTTTACAACAACTTTTAACCCTTTCACTCCCAAGATCTAATTAGTAATTCTCCTTACTATCTGCCATACAATTCTTATGTTAGTTCAGAGAATTTGGTATTGGATCAACTAATAATCCCATGATTGATATTGTTCTCTATTCTCATCGCCTGCCTGCTTGATATTGTATTGATATTGTAAGGAGAAATTCTATCTTGGTCACTTGTGGGAGTGAAAGGGTTAATGTTTTAATAACATCTCTATAAAGTCAACAGTGGATAAACTTGGTTATAGATATAAATGTGAAAGAAATGTAAAGATAACCTACTTGATGGTGACAATGAGTAATTCAGGTACTTCTGATTTCAACAGATATGGTGCAGATGTAAATGCAAAGACAATATATGTAACACAAGGGACATCTTACAACGACACTCCTCTACATTTGGCTGCTCGTCATAGCCACACAATGTGCATCAAAAGACTTATACAGGCTAATGCCAATTTATGGACTAAAAATTGCCTTGGACTAACAGCCGAAAGGTTTGTCACAGATTCAAGGGTGCAGAATTGGATGGAAAATATCCGATGCAGACCCAGGTCTCTACAACTGCAGTGTTCTGCAGCAATCAGAAACTATGTAAAACATGACAAAACAAAAAATGCGGTGAAGCTGCCTCTTCCTCCGCATCTTTTAAGACAAGTACTTTTCGAACAAGACATCAAGATTGTCTAGCACAAAATGGTATCGTTAGTACTTCTACTATCAAGAATGCTGAAATTCAAAGCCCTGGTTATGCAACGAAAATCAGACCCACGAGTTTTGATTAGCATGATGCAACCTTGCTATGACTCAAGGCAGTACAATGTGACTCAAGAATGATTTATTTATGGCTATGGTTACAGCTTTAACTGAAAGGTGCCCCTGCAGCGCAATTCTTTGCTGGTCGTAGTTTCAACTCAGTCACGGAGTTTAACCATAAAGAACAACTCTATAGTCATCTCAAGTATTTAAAACTTCATCAGTTTATATTCTTTCAAATTTTCAGTTTTTGTGTTCACGTGACATCATCCAGTTTGGGTGACACATTCAGTTTGATTTGTTTTAAGATCAGTTTTGATATTCTGATGTACAGTTTACTGTACATTCAGCTTATTTTTTTCACATTTGAAAGTTCACAAGCTTTATTTTACTGAAGTTACACTTTTCACACCTTAGTCAGGGAGTTGGTTTTAGTTTGGTATGATTATCTTGAAAAACTACCTATTTCTACATCTTTTCACAAACCAACATCAATCCCTTGACTCTCAAGATCTGATTGGTAATCTTCTTCTCCTGACTGCCTCATTTTTGTTGTGAATTGGACACAAGAATTTGGTATGATGTCAAGCTCGCACCCTCTAGCTGACAAACTTGTTTGTTCTCATCTCCTACATTAAGGGTGGTCTATTAAAATTGTGAAGATATCTTACTTATTAATCACTTCTGGGAGTCAAATAATTCAAGTATTACACAATCAACCACACTTGCAGTTATTTTAAGTTGCCTAATGGTTATGGCATTGAATTTTAGTCAACTGGTGAAGTAAAACTTTGGAAAGGTATGCAGTGATATCCACAGTACTAATGACAGATTTAGACAGGGTCCTTAAAAAAAAATTTTGGCAACTTTTCTGACAACACCTTTTTTGCATTTTATGGGCTCCACAAAATGCAAAACCAACAAGAATTGAAAGAGTTTCAGAGATAGAGACAAAATTTCCTTCCTTCAACGCTAAATCAAAGAAACATTAATGTGTCATTTCTTTAAAAATGATATGTATACATATTGTAACGAATTTTAAGTCAAAATAATCGTAAATACTTTGATTTTGTTTTTCACTTTTTGCTAGGTACATATCCACAATGTTGAAACAAAGAATAATACCAATTAATGTAATGTGAAATAATTTCAACCTGGAGTCATTTTAAATTACTCTATAAATATCTACCACTTATCTCTCTTTCAAATTTGACAGAATGTATGATCAGGACATGTGCTCCAATTAAGCATTTTTGCAAAGAAATTTTGCAAATGTTGTTAAAAAGTTGGAGGAAAGATGTGAAAAATGATGAAAAGAATTTGTCAACTAACAAAGGTAGTAGTATCATTATTATAAATGATAATAATAAGTTTCAATTTTAGTCATGCAAAAACATGTCTTTAAGTTCTATCTAGAAGACCAGAATCTACAGACTTTAGAAAGGAAGATAACTTTAAATCTGAATCTCTTTATGTGGCAGGAAGTAAGTATATTTTGTGTCCCTCTCTCAGATGATCAAGGTGTCAGAATTTTGTTGTGTAATCCTAAGGTTGCAAAGTATAGAGAAATTTTTATTTTTATCTTTGAATGGTTGTACTTAATGGCTGGCCAGGGCTGCAGGCGCAAATTGGGAGCCTGGAACAGAAGTGACACTGTCTCATTTCCAGTCCTACTCCTATTTTGCTTCACTTGCAAACAAGTTAAAAAAATTATTGCATTTATAACGTTCCATACATTTGATATACTTCACATATGAATTAAATGTTTGTCTCCTTTTTAAAGAGACAACGGCGAGAAAAACGAAATTGTTACAAATAAAGTAAGATAGCAAAGGTTCTTGTTTGTGTCTTACCTTATCTTTTGATTTTGCGCAACACCTCGTGATTACGCCGTGATTACCTAGTAACACGGCAGGTATGCGCAAGAGGATCAATTTTTACCGACGGCGCACCCATTTCCCGCGCAAAAGCACAACTGTGGGCTCGCAAAATGGGCCAAGTTGAAGAGAAACGTTCATAGAGAGCTGTAAAATTCACCAAGGTGGAGAAGAGGAAGACTGGAGACTAGTCGAACACAGCTTATGTAATTAAGGTTGTCCATATGGAATCAATCTTGATTTGAGCTGTATCGTAAAAGTTATACGGTTTAAAACACGACTCACTGGCTTGTATGGTTGTTTCTTTCTCTCTTAGACAATCTTAGTTCTGACAACTTGAAAGAACGCTACCTCGCTATCACAGCGTTTGTCTATGCGCAGACTGTTCACCATTGTTCTACCCTGTCAAGTCGGGTCGAGTCAGTTGAGTTAAGACTTCTTGATGTTGAATGCAGCGGTCGAACACAGCATGTGAAACTGGATCAATTTTGGCCAGCCGCGCGCTAATTTCCCACGCAAACTTTTAAAGGAGTGAACCGATGTCGCAAATTTAAGAAAAAATATATTTTTAAAACTTTTAAAAGACGTTAATAGAAATATGTTGAAGGTATCAACAGAAGTAAAAAAGAGCAACCTTTAGATTCAAAGAATCCAAAGTTTATTTATTATGGGAATTCTGTGATTTACCCGTTTTTTAATAATACACAGTGACTTACTGGCTTGTATACTCGTTCTAACCCTTCCAAAACTTCCTTTCCCTGACAACCTTGAGGCCTTTAGCAAGGCGTCGGTCCACCTCAATGTTTACACATACGCAGACGTTTGACCACTGTGCGACGCTTTGTTATTTTGAGCCAACGAGATGGCTAGTTCCCAGGGCCTGGTTGTTAAAGCTGGGTTAAGATAACCCGGGGTTAGTGTAAAATTTGACTTCAGATCTGAAAGCTTAAAAAGAAATTCAGTTTGAAGCCATTTGTGTACAACTTGATGATTAAATGTTCTAAAAAAAATAGGGAAAATTATACCAGAATGGCTTTTGAACAGAGAAATATAGAAACCTGGATTAAAATTGAATCTGGGATGGCCCTAATCGGCCTTCGAACAACTGGGCCCTGATCCCTTTGTGTGGTTTGACCATGCGTCAGTACTTTCCAGGCGTCATTCCGACGTAAACGGCCAGGAATTAGTTTTCCTGAATTCTAGAATTTCTGAGTCTTCATTGGTCAAGACCCTAATTAAGAACACAGCAATTACGTGTGTAAGTGGCGAAATTACTAGAAAAACAAGGATTTAGGCAACTGTTGCTCGTGTTTTTCAGTATATTCCAAATGAAAGAGTTCAATTCCTTAGGCGAGATGGAAAGCAGGGCGATAATGACTGAGGAAACGGGAATTACACTGCAACAGGAGGATGAAACAATTGAAGAGATCGATTGCTTGTGGCTAATGTGGGATAACTTAGATTGGCAGGAAAATCTTCGTTCACCCTCCACCCCAAAAAGGCGGGCTCAAAACATACCACGTTTCCCTCCCATTGACTGCCGCCCACTCGTCGCTCGAAACCAGTTTGTATCCCAATCAAGACTCGAGATCGAGAACATGGTTGGAATTATGAAGCAAAATTCGCCCTCTTCATCCTTCGTCCAGAAAAGTAATTGCTTGGTTGAAGAAACGATCCACGAAATTTCTTCCGCCATCCACGACAAAACGATTGACGAGATTTTGCCATCACCACGCGAGGCAGACTTTGTTGACTTACTAGAGGACCGTCGGCCATCCTACGGGACAGCGTTGAAGTCGTTCGCTATGATGGAAAAGGAGAAGGAAAAGGAGATCAGCGGATATTCGTCGTCCGAATTTTGGCGGAGTTTTTTGGGAATGCACCATACTTCAATGATCGTCAAAGTTGACGAAATTCAGAAGTGAGAAGAGGAAAGAGAGCTGTCTTAATAAGGGAAACGGTCCTTTGACAGCGCGACCCTTTCGGTAGACAGCAAACGACAGAAATTATTCGCCGTTGACACTTATCAGTATTACCTATGAACAACAGATTTTTGACTAACTCACGATAGCGTAGATTCAAGACTCCTGAATCGGTGAACTGTATTCAGAGTTCATCTTTGCCGCATGCCATTATCCTATACTTGATATGTCAACACGCTAACGAATAACGCTAACGCTAATAACCAATTAAATCAAATTAATCACCGAGCAGTAAATTTAAGATTATAAGATTATTTCAGTTTTGTTTTCAGCTGTGGCAGGCCGTTCGTTTTCTACTCTTTTCATTTAAAGCGCGGTCTGACCCTGCTTATCTTGGTTGCTGTTGTGTTCCGATGTGTTTCACCCGAAAGTAGTTCTGAATGATCGGGCTTTTTTAATGTCTGGGGTTTTTTTTTATTTATTATAGTTTTTTTTTCTAATTTTCATTTTCCTCTGGATGTTTAGTGGTTAAGTTTTAATGTCATTCTCGTGTTTTTTTTTAAAATGAAACGATTTCCACAGGACGTAGCTATTTCCTAATAACCAGCAAAAATAATGACGTTTTCTTGATTAAATTTCACTCCAATCAAGAACTTGAAGGCGTCGCCCCGTTCCGTCGAGAAAAGCCGAAAAAAGAGACAATCATGACAAACAAACTGAATGACGGGGATAAGTTTCTAGTAAATTTGCGGTGCTACGTCAGAAGGGGAGTACATTGTTATCAGAGCGAATGACGATGGGGCCAACGTTAGAAACGTCAGCTTCAGAAACTCTTAATCGGTACCCGATTTACATTTTCAAATCAGATGATAAAACAATCAATTATGAAAATAAACAACTGAGGATTTCTGCTTCTCGTGATATATTATTGTAGAACGCGTTCTGAGTTTTAAATGGTCGATGAAGTTTTGAAATTCGTGTTGTATTTCATATTTTGGTGTTAACTGCATTATAATAAACATTTTGAAAAACGCATTTGCTATCGAGAGTTGTTTGTCTCAAAATATTACAGGTGATGAATGGTAAGTGAGCAAATTAGTTACATGGTTTACGGCAATGACGGACCAAACCGCATTTTTATCATCTAACTTTTAGCTTAAGTAACGCTGTATCGGCAAAAAATGGTATCGTGCTATATTTCAAGACAATAGCTGTTGAATTTCCCTTAATTGAAACTTACCGGATTGAACTCAAATTCGATCGCATGCACCATTTGTTTTGCATGGGCTAAGAAGTTTATGTTAATTACCCTGGCGTAAATTTTGAATGTGCGTTAAAACCAATGTTTCAAACGGCTCTTCGTCTCACCTGCCTAAGTTTTTCTTTAGTTGTTTTAACCCCTTTAAACTATGTATAATAACAGATTGTTTCAGCCTATGAGTTAACACCCGGTTAGGAGATCAGAATTCGATGTAAATCTGAAAATCAGTTAATGTAACGGAAAAAAGAAACTGCCATATTGCCGGACCTTATTTTAGATCATAACTAGATTATAACTTTAAAATTTCATAATGACAGCGAAGAGCAGCTTCAATGTACGGTTTAAACAAGGATGAGCCAGCACTATTGAGCTGAGACCGCAATCAACGCACAAAGTGTTCTGATTGGCTCTGTATTGTTTAACAGAGTTCTGATTGGCTGTTGTGAATACTTTGTTTCGGCTTACGAAACTCAATCGTTAGTTGTCCTAAATATTACGCACTGACGTAATCATGCTCCTTGACAGCCTTCTTCATCAGCCAATCACCGGGTTTTCGTTACATTTCGCTCCATTCCACGCCACCACGACATTTCTAGTCAGTCGCCTGTGTCGGAACCATGAACGTAACGAGTGGTTGAACTTTGGAAGTCTCCAGGCGTACATGAAAGGATTGATCATGGAGCTTACGGAGAGAAATTCGTTCGCAACCAAGTAATATACTTTGTACGAATACGTGTTTCGACAGGAACAAAAATACAAAATCTGCACGTGAATAAAATAAGGTATAAATGACAGGAAAAACACCAAAAGGATCATCGCAAACGTGATAACCATCCTGTTCTCTCTCTCGAGTTGTTTCCTTCTGTTGGCCGCTGTGAGACTTGCGCGGACATTTCTAAGTTCCTCGCTCTGACGGAAAATCGCGCGGTATATTTTCACATAAACTGCTGTTAGAACAGATGATGGAATCACGAAATGGGAGTAGCAGTAAGCTAGCAGAAAGTTCTTCTTTTTCACATCAGCTATGGGAAGAACAGACATAATTAATCCGTTTATCCAAGTTACTGCGATAGCAATCTTGGCTTTTTTGTTAGTGATTTTATGTGGATATTGGAAAGGTTTGATCACTGCCACGTAACGTTCGTACGACATCGCCATGAGAGTGGAAACAGCGGCGAGAATCGAAACAGCTCCGATAAAATATTCAACCAGATTCAGAATGAGCAGGTCCCCCAAACCACGGTAGAAGTAAGTTAACTCAGCACCTCTCAGAAAGCTCACAACTCCAACGAAAAAATCCGCGACTGAAAGATTGGCGATGAGGAACACAGACGGGGTCCGCAAACATCGACAGGGATCGCGGTAAATTGTGAAGAAGAGGAAGCCATTTGTGACCATGATTATTGTTCCTAGAGAGTAATCAAGAATCACGAAGACAAGGAGATCAACACCAACGACTTCAAAACTGACTGTTTCTGCGTCGCTGCCATCAGCCGATAATGTCGAGTTCATTCTTGGGTCTTAGATTACCATGTAGATACACCAGTACTCGACAAACGAGTTGTTCCTTTTCTGAACAACTCCTGAGATTTGTCTGAGGGGGAAGCTATGTACATTAAAGACATGTCATTTCTACTTGATGCATTATCTGTTTTGCAAACTTAGGTCTGACAACGAGTACATACTGGACCATTAACAGGCCTAAATATTCGCTAAAAAGTTTCCAGATAATGTATGAATGACGCAAGCAATCTACGATATCATTCCATGTACGTGCAAAGAATTTTCAATATAATCTGAGACTAAATGGCACGACATTTAAGCAAACTTTGATTCACGAACTCTGTTTCATCTTGTCATTGCTCGAATATCATTAAATATTTGATTGTAATTTTTTATATTTCTATTTTACTGTTAACTTTTTGTAATTAACGAAAGCTGTAGTGAAATTCTTTGCCAAAAAAATGAAATTGTGATGGGTGTGAATTAATATTGACTCAAATAATCGTTTAAAATTCATTGTCATGAGAAAATTTTCACCTGATTGTATAGGCAGCTGTGTTGCCAAGACTATTAAGAGTTTTTTTTAAGAAAACGCCACAAGTTTCTAATTAACTTTTCGACTCAAAGTAAACTATTAACCAAGACTATTAAGAGTTTTCCTAAGAAAACGTCACAAGTTTCTAATTAACTTTTCGACTCAAAGTAAACTATTAACCAAGACTATTAAGAGTTTTCCTAAGAAAACGTCACAAGTTTCTAATTAACTTTTCGACTCAAAGTAAACTTAAAATGACTTTTCCAATTTTATTTTATTTGATGACGTTTGGGAAAGCACGCACAACAAAGAATGAATCTGACCGAAGAGAACTACAATGTATAAGTACAAACACGTTTCAAATTTTCTGTGATGCTTCTGACGGACGAAATTTCGGCAAAGTCCAAAAACATGGGGTTATAATTTTTCATACGACCCACAAGCCAGTCAGGATCGTAATAAAAAACTGTTATAACGAAACAATCAGATAACGTTTGTACAAAATTGCTTCAAGATGGATTTTTACGAGTTTATTTGAGACGCAGGATAAGAGTCTATCAACGAAATTATGGTTTTTTTGTCAAATTCTGCGAGTCGACTCGAATAGTTATAGCAAAAGCCTTTTACTCCAGAAACCAAGATGTCTTCTGTATCTGGAAAAACGGCTGATATGTCTTATGATTAAAACAAAGATAAACTGCAAATATCTCGTAATTTCAGTTTTTGATTTAGCTGCATGAAGTATTCACGTCCGCTTCAATAGATGAGAATACCATTTTTGAAAACTTATGTTTGGCACATGCTTTTATTCCTCTTTCTAAATTTGATTCTTTTTAAAACCTTAATTTATCGACAATGGAAAAAAAATTTTCCGTATCCACTACGAGATTATAAAAACCTAACTTGAAGGTGACGTGATTTTGATAATGTTCCGCAAATTCTTACTTGCGTTGTCCCAGTCCCTTGCTTTCCTCCCTTGCTTTCTTGTCCGTGCGAAGTCCAGGAAGAATGGACGAGAGAACGCGTCCTCGAGTCTTTTTCGGTGACTGGGTACTAATATTTGATATCCGCTGACATCAGCCATTTAACACTAGCAGCCCCTATCAACTACTTACCCCTCCCCTCCCCCCACGACAATTTCTCCAATAATCATTACTCTGGACCAAAACTTCTGAAATGATCATCAAGAATCAAACAGAGAACAAATATTTGTACAGTATCAACACACAACTATTGTTCAATTTTGTTAATACTTTTTTCCCTTCATAATGTATTTGGTTTGATGAAAACTAGTCATTTTGTCTCGTCACAATCTAAGGCAGTTGACTAAGTCTGATTTGTAAACACTTGTTCACGATAAAATGAGGTCACTTTCTTGAGTGTTCTTTCGTGTCTTCCACGACTTGAAGACTTGGTCATTACGAGATAGAAGTCAAGTGATGAAAATAAACTGTTTAAAGTTGTATGAGGTCAAGTTTGTATTACGAGAATCTTGTTCTAAGTTTAAATTTTAGAATAAAAGAATAGTATAAAATATGTTTTCAGCTGTTTAAGTTTAAACATTTTAGTAGCTATGTGTTTGTATGTCGTATTGTTTCCAGCAGCTGATAAATCATTTAAAAAAATCATCTTTTAGATTTTAGGCTGGAAATTTTAGAGGTCTTGCTTTAATTGGGAAACTCCTCAGGAAGTTCCTTAGTATATCGCGACAAATTGTTTTCTAAGCCAGCCAGTTATCAGCTAGAGTTTCTTACCATGCCGAATACAATGTTTGTTCTTATTATTGCCTTGTCTTTCTTGCAGGCAACACGCGGTGCAAGTAAGTATGGAACTATTGTGTTAATACTTTGCTTTTCAGTTTCTATTCCATTTTTTTAGTTTCAATCTTTCCAATATGTATGACAAATTAAATGAGGATATAAAAACAGCTCACTCATTCACGTCATGAATTTCAATATGTTTTATGGTTGTCAATTATTTTTGTCATGATAAACGCACTCTGACTTATGAACAAAATTCAACTGGAGTCTTAGGGTAGTAAATATTGTTTCACTGTAACATTCGCCACATCAGCTATGATAGTCTATCCGATTGTTGTTTTCAGCATATAATATCCAAGTCACCACCGCCGCAGTTTACCTGGCTGGAACAGATGCAAAAGTCTTTGTTGAGATCATCGGAACGAACAAGCAAACCACAGGGTCAATTGAGTTGGGTAATCCTGGAGTAAACGATTTTGAAGCTGGCGCGTAAGTGTGACGAATTACTGTTGAAAATATGTGGGCATAAATTATCGGGCTAAATATATAAAGAAGGGAACATACACACGCGCACATGGACTAATCCCAATGAGCACGCTACTAATGATCTAATAATAATATGCGTATTCGGGGTTGTCAGTTATTATGTGACTGCTCGGTTTATGCTGGAGTATCAAAGAAAGCGTTTTTTAACCAAAATTCGTCTTAACAGTTAATATGCGAGAAACACCAAGCATGTCTGTTTGGATTTTGAGCTAAGTTTTGTGTGTTTGAAAGATCCACTTCATTCTTTTTTTTTTTTTAATCAATTCTGGAAAAACTGTCTGGGCAAGTGGTTAATTGACTCATGATTACCATTACGATATCATTATCACTGTCATATTATTATTCTGATTGCTTTTAATCTGTTGACCCTCTAGAGTGACTCATCTAATTTCTCCTTACAATATCAACCCTAAATCAGACATTAAGGTAATGAGAATAAAGGAAATGATCACCAACTAAAGAAGTTCTTGATCGTCAAACAAATTCTCCTCGTCAGCACCACAGGAAATTCCTAGAGAACAATATGGCGAATATGCAGACTGACGCTAGGTCGTAAAGGATTAATGGTACAAAACTCCTTTTATTTTTGCAGAACAGACACATTTTATAGGAATGCTAAGCTGATCAAACCCATAACATCCATTAAAATTACTCGATGGGATGGTCTCATCGGTCCTCATTGGAAACTAGATAAGGTATTGAAAAATGATTATTTCAAGTGTTTATTTAGAATAACCCGATCAGCAATGCACGAAACCTGTGCTCAAAAGGTAGCGAGTAGACAAGATTAGACTTTTCGTCAATAAATACTGGATGGAGATAGAGAAACTTTACTGGTTATAGTGGCTTTGGTTGCTACCTTTCACGGCTTTACCTCTCAATCAAGAGAACATGTCGTCTTCCCTTAACTTTTGTTCTTGTAGTAACCTCGATTTTATCATGTTAACATCCGCGTTTAAATCATCGAGATTGGTAAGAGAAGACTGCCCTGCACAAACATACCTATACGGTGGCTCCCTTTGAAAGGGAAAGACGACAATTTTTTTTTCTAATTTTAAAACTACATCTTTCGCTTAACTGGCATCAAAATCGAGAAGAGAGGACGTGTGATTGGGAAGGATGTCGCAATAAACGGACAGAAAATGTTTTATGATCATGTCTTTACCGTCATTTATTCAATTTTCCTATGCAATCGTAGGTAGTAATAACTGTCGATGGTTCCAGGCCTCACACATTTATCTTCAACAAGTGGATACACGAACTTAAGTGGGAAACAGCTTATGGTGAGAATGACTTCAAAATAAAAAAAAAAATTATTTCCTGCATCTCTTTTGAAATTGCGAAGACCATTTAAAGAAAGCAAACAAAACAATAAGGAATCGAACGAGCAAGAAAAAAATTTAAGTTATTTCCAGACATGAGATGATTTTTGGTCAGCGGAGAATGATCCATGCGTACACACATATCTCAACACGTTCCCTTCTCCAATTTCAACACGCAATAAGTTTTGAAATAAGTCTTCGATTCTTTTTCCGTTTCAGAATTTCTATGATCATTTTTGTCAGCCATTTCTTTCTACTTTTTGTGTTAATTTTCTAGTTTGAACTGTATATTATGAATACTCTAGTAGTTCATTCTACCTCTGCGATTTACCTACCACAAATATACTTGTGCCGTGTAAACTGCGTCATTCTTCATAATGAACAGGTTTGTACAAACTGGATGTATTTCTCTATTTTGTTTTCCTCAGAGGAAAATGAGTGTCGAAGTAATCGTTCTAAATGCGAACAGCTCTGTGTTAACACCATCAGTGGGTATTACTGTGAATGCAAAAAAGGTTATCAACTGAATGGAAAGTACAGCTGTAAAGGTAGGCTGTTTGGCAACTATTATTACCATCTGTCGGAACAGAACACAGCCATCATTCGTGTTAAAAGAGATTTAGATCCGAGGCGGCGAAGCCCACTTTCCGCTCTTTTAAATGTGGGCGGGGGAGGGGAAGGGGGGTGATTTAATTTGGGATTCTTTTAAGATACCCTTTGTTCCTTTCAGTCCTAGTTTTTTAATTCCGTCTTCAGCAAAAGAAAAAACCTAAGATTTGCAAGGGTAGAAATTAAGCTTTATTCTTTAGAAAATAACGTCATTCGAAATCACAATATTGTTCCTAGACGTAGATGAATGTTTAGCTGGAAGCCATTCATGTGATATGAAGATCTCCAAATGTATCAACACTCCAGGAGGTTTCATATGCCAGTGTTATTCTGGGTATAAAAACATCTCGGGAAATAATTGCCAAGGTCAGTAGAAATACTTGTAAACTGAAAAAAAAAACAAAAAAAAAACAATAAACAAGCTGACTCGTTCCCAGCCGCCGCTGAAATGTGTGCAAC